AACTAACATATAAATACACATGCCAATCAACATGATACTTGCTTTATTGGTATCTGGTTGAATTGTGCATACCATGTTATCACAAAACTCAATGCATATAAAATTAATTATGCATTTCTCTACAAATATAATGAGGCTCAAGAGAAGAAAAGTCTAAGAAGTAAGGAGACCGAGGGATGAAAGGGCACCTATTATGTGAAACCCTAATTCTGAGCAGCATTTGCAAACTTTAATGAGATTGGGCAACGTCTCAAATTCTTAGTTCGCCGACTGCTTGCAGTCTATATGCGCATGTACATCTACATGCATGAATATGTATCAGAGTATGGTGTCCATTATGATTATCTTTGAAGTTTGAACAAGATGGTGTAGAATAAACATGTATGTGTATGTGAGCACAAATGATTGCATTTGGTATTGAATCTAAATTTTGAGTTTGTCCTAAACTCCCACACATCAAATCATAGTATACTATTAGTTAATAACATGATGCTGCAGTATAGACATGATGGAGTTTCAGTTATGAGGTTGGTTTGGCTGCCTGTGCCTGGCTTAGTTCTAGTGTATTACTCAACTAAAACCCAATACTCAGATAAACCCATATACTGTATACAAGTAACAACTATATTATATGATCCCAGTACCATGAATTGTGACATAACTTGTTGCTTAACCACATCAATACGATTGACACAGTGATTTAAGACTCTCCAGACAGTAGACTATTTCTATTTTTAATGCTTGTCTTTCCCTCTTGTAGTACATGACATAGTTGAATCTACTTTCATAATTGTGTGAACATTTATATTGATAAAATGGATTACATACAACTGGCTAATTGCACTGATTCTATTTCATAATAAAATCTAATCTCAAAATTATTCGTGTGATTATTTTAAAGTAGCACCATTAATATTTTCATATAGAAAGTTCTTTGTTATTAACAAGGGGAATAATTTAGTGTAGTTAAAATTATGTTGTATTGAAGTTTTAATGAATCAAAACAGTATAAATATTATAAATCAAATAATACATTTAATTAATTTTCTAGGTGACGTACAATGAAAACAAGTTAGTCCTATGTGCATCCAATGGGTGATGCATCATTAGATAATCAACAGTACTGACAAGGTAGTGCAAAAGCACTCACAGAATGTATGCATGTACATGTATACCCTAGTGTTTCCTTTCAGCAAAGATTGAGTGCACTATAAGTTTTATTCAGCCTTGGAATCACTGTACTAACATACTTATCCATTACACTTGATTGGAGGCTACCCATGCCCTTATATGGTGTCCGATAGTGATGACTGAGACCAAGTGAGGGGGAGATACGATACTCCTTTCTAGCTCCTCTCCTCCACCTCCATAAAGTATGACAAAAAGCAGCTATAGCATTATCAAGATTAGCCATTATCTTAGGTGATTCTAGTGTTGGGTGTCTTGTCCTTAGTGTCCAGTTAAAATAAACAGGAACCTCAACTCCCTTGCATAGTCTTCCAGTCAGGCTACCTTTTTCACTATTGTAATACCAATGAGTGTTTCT